AGAAGAAAGAAAAGTCATAAATCAAGATACTTTTCAAATACGTTGGAGGATACATTCAGTTGGCAGGTCGTAGCAAAGCAAGGGGTTTTTAACTATAGGTCTCAGATGCTATCTGCTGACATTCTTAGCCTTTTGATAGGTGAGACGGCGTAGTCTATTAGGATAATACGTTCTGAAACATTTTTTATCTGTTAATCACAGGATGTTAGATCAGAAACAGAGGTGGGCAAGGAGTGGCTGTTTAGGGGGCTAAAGATGGCCTGAGTTAAATGGTGATTGGGCTCTGGACCTGCAACATTCCAAACTCCCCACAGTTTCCAGACTGAAAATCAGTTGGTGAGCCTTTCAGGAAGTTCAGTCCAAGGTGCAGGAGTTCTTTTTGGAAACTTTTCTTTCCCAGTTCCCTGCGTTGACTAAGCATCACATTTTGTGCATGCATGAGCCACATATTATTTATTCCCAAGTCATGTTAGGCTCAGTTGTAGGCAAGATAGCAGTCTTCAGGAGACAGGAATAGCTAGCTCTTGGAGCCAATAAGAAAGAAACTCCTGGAGCATATCAAAACTATCAGCCAGCATGATCCAGATCTTACTTTTCTTTTGTCCTCTATATCTGACATAACTTTTGTATGTGGCATATAAAAGGATGACTAAACTTAAAACAACCAAGAGCGTTGCTTGGCCTAATAGAGCAAATATAACAGATTAAGACAACAAACATTAAAATAAAGATGCGATTGACTGTGTTTCCCCCGTATTTATAGTTATCTGTAGTCTGTGAACTATTTTGTTTATATTTGGAACATGTAAGCAAATCTATTGCTTTCTAATGATTGGATTTTCTTTGGGTAAGTTAGACCTTATAACTATAACCTCACGGAGTGGCTAGCTCTAACTCTAGTAGTTCTTATCTGTGGATAATGACTTCATCTGTTTTATTATATTGATATCATACCAGATTTAGCTTAGAAAACATAAATGAAACATATTGTAGAAGAAATTACAAAATACAGTATTCTTTATACTTTCTTCTAACAAGAATTTCTTCATTTATATAACAAATATTAATAACATTAATAGAAACAAGAGATCAAACCTGTTAGGAAATTGGAACTTTATAGGCCTTAAAGACTCACCTTACTGCTTTTAAAAAAAAAAAAAATGTTTTTTTTATTTTAATGGTTAGAAATGAAAAATTGTCCATTTCTTTAATAAAATAGAGATATTGCTTAGTTGTTTTAATCCCAGCTAATGGTACTATATAGGACAACTTACATACTCATTTAATCAAAGAACATTAGTACTTAAACTATAAAGTATCATGAATATGTTGTTATTAGAGTGATGTCTTGTATAATTTGTATAAGAAGAATGCTATCTAGTCAAAATACAGTTGTAGTTACTTGTTAAACATTGGAATATATTTCAGGGCCCTTTTAGTCTAATTGGTTGAATTTGGCTAAAAGAAGTAATATTATTAGGAATAATTAGGAAATATATATACATGTTTACAAAGAATAAAAACACTTAACTACTTTAAACATGAAAACTAGTTGAGTAAGATAGGAGTTCTGATAAGCATTTATAACTTAATTTAAAACAAGATTAGCACTTTTTTATCATTTAGGAATATACTAAGTGAATTATTAGATATTAGAAACCGTTAAAAACAGCCAAGCATAAAAGAGTTTAAGGAATAAAAAACTGAGAGAAATGTTCGGTTACTTGGGGGTACTTGACCTGTCAATTAATTGAAGATGAGTTCCATCCAGCATCTCTGAAGTCCACATGAATGAGTGCTTTATATTGATTTGGAATATATGACTCTTAAAGTTTATCTCCTTGAATTTTGTAGTACAGGAGTAAGTTGGAAGTATCCGGATACAGTCTTTACTCTCCAGTTGAATGGAGTGTTTGATGTGATGGAGTTTTTTTCAGTTGATGAAATCCTTTGAATTTGTGTATCCTTTAAGGAATATTCTGTAATTAATTTTGAATTTTAAGTAATCATGTTTAAAAGTCCCTGTTTTTCTAAGCAAATTAGCAATTAAGAAAACTTTTTGTTGTTGTTGTAACTAATACTAAAGCATTAATTTTGCCTCAAGGTATTGAATTTTGACCTTAAAAATTTAATAACATTTATATTATAACCAATTATAATT